TCTCTCTCTCTCCCGTCTCTCTCTATCTCTCTCTCTCTCTCTCTCTCTCTCTCCCGTCTCTCTCTATCTCTCTCTCACCACACCTCTCTCTCCGCGCAGCTACTACAACAGCCGGTACGACGACGCGACGAACATCGGACTGCACTACCTGGCAGACGTGACGGGCAACGACACGTACGACGTCGTCACGGCTACGGCGCGCCACCTCTCTGCCGTCGCCACCGTCGTCGCGAGGACCCTGTTCTCGCTCGCCGCCGCCGACGCCCGGCAACCGAGCACCGAGATCGCAGCAGACGAGATGACGGTGAGCGTCGCGCGATTGTTGGTTGTCACGGCAACGTCGGATGCTCGCGATTGCCGCAGTTATTTCGTCGATTGTTTTTTTTTCTTCATGGTTTTTGTCTTTAGAGAAAAACTTAGTGTTAAAGGAAATAGATATTAAAAACAGAAAAACTCATAAAGAAATCGATATTAAACGCAGAAAAACTCATGGAGAAATCGATATTAAAAGGAGAAAAATTTGGAAAGGAAATAAATATTGAAAAGAGAAACCCTAATTAAAGAAAATATGTATATTAAATTCGCATATTTACCTTTTGTTTGATTATGCTTTTAAACATTGTTTGTTAACATGAACGTGTTTGAGGGTTGATGCAGTGGTTGTTTATTTTCTGTTCGAGCAGGTAACACACTTGCTGTATTGTCTGCTGCACAAACAACATTGTGAGCTGCTGTTGACTGTTTTCCCTCCAGAACAGAGCAAGCATCTGAGTGAGTCATCGTCCTCCAGTATTCCTCTATCATCATAATATTAATATAAATAAAAACGATATAATAATATCCTTATCATCATATCACTAATACAATGTGTGACATTATTGTATCATTTTCCCATATTAGGCCCAATAGGTGGCGCTATACTATTTCCTGTAGCCATGTACTTGCGTGGTCACTCTACTACGTGGCAGGCTGGAGAGTGGCTGGAAATAAATCCTTTGTTGAGTTTACATATTATACGTCAGCTCTTACGACTTTACTTCTAGAAATACAACACAATGTTATTCACATCATACGATAAAATGCTGCTGTTCCCTGTTGTTCTCTGTTGTTCACTGAGGTTCTCGCATGTTCGTCATTGCAGAGAACGGCACGGGCTCGCTGTACGTCAGCGTGGATCACGTGATCAATGAACACACGGTGATCACGCGGAACCTTCTCGCGTACTTCCTCGGCGAACGCATCGCCGTGAATGGTTCCAAGTACTGCGACGATGACAAGACCCAGCAGGTATCACACCGCAGTGTTACAAGCGTCACAACGAGCCGAGCGAGGATGGCGAGGCACGTGATTGGCCGCTGTGCGCGGCGGAGCTCGGTGACAGGATGTTCGCAGCCATTGACTCGGTCACGTGTATACGCAGGACTAAGCTTAGCCAGAGTCTGGGTGAGAGCTTGTCTCCTACGTTTTGTTACGTTATGTTCTAATACTTGTCGGTGTCCACTGCACTGGATATAGTGACAAGGTAGTAAGTGCCTTCAGGGATAAACCCAATAAACAAACAACAGGTGCATAATGATGTGAGTGCAATGCTACTAGGTGTCTTCTTAAAGTGGGTTCGCATGCTTGATGTGGGAGTGAAGCCTTGACTTGAAAGTGTCAAACCCACGGGTAGATTGTTCCAGATTGGAATCATCTGGGGAAAAAAAAGAGAATTTAAATGTGTTGTTGTTGCAGTGCAAGTGCCGAAATTTGTGTTTTTTTTCCGATCTAGTACCTGACACCCCGGGGGGTCAGATATCTACTCGCCGGTAGTGCTATGAGGTGGTTTACAACCTTATACATCATGACGCTATGTGGAGCTATGTGCTGTCTTATTAGTTTGTCATTCGTGCATGTGAAGGCACGTGTCTGTCACGAGCGTTTGTGCAGACACTATCGTATGTAGCTTCTGTTGCTTTTACTGATGTACGACGACATGTCACTATTGCCATTATTTATTAATCACTGTTATCTAATCTATCTCGTGTGATAAATCATCAGGATTAGATGAGAAAAATATTTGTTATAAACTCCCGATGTTATGTAAGAGATTATAAATGTAGAATGCCGGATTTTATGACCCCCATGTAATGTTCGCAGAAAACAAAACAGAGAACCAAGAATAAACGTGGCACGCCATTTTTCAAAGTTCGAGTTACAAAATTTCGAAAAGCAAATCTCTGTATTCGATGCACAACCTAACCCGTCGTCGTCGCTTGTAATGACTCGTTGGTTTCTCCGTGGTTTCTCCGTGGTTTCTCCGTGGTTTCTCCGTGGTTTCTCCGTGGCTCCGCGATCAATCGGCTGTTGATGGCTTCAGTGAGGTTTGGTTCGGGACATTGTGACCCGCTCGGGGACAAGAACGTGTGGGCGACGCTAAGACCCGTGACAAAGTCAAATCCACCGGCTGCCAAATCCATCGTCGTCGCTGCAGCACGGGTGAGCATTCTAACGACTCGCTCTAAAGGTTTTACTCATGTGTGCAGTGGTAAACCTGCAGCATTTTAGTGGGTGGGTTGGCGAGGCAGGTAAAAACACTTTGTTTTCTTCCGCTGTACATGTTGTCTAGATAAATAGACACATACGTGGGCGCATGTACAAAGGAGAGCACTAACAAGTGAGAAATATAAAAATATATATATATGTATGTATAGAGAGAGAAAAAA